CATCTACACAAGGGAGTTAGTTGGATGATAAATATGTAGAACCTTTAAAAAAATAATGATGGAGTCCATACTTACCTTGTTCTTGCCTTTAAGTGCTTTATTTATTTATTTATTTATTTATTTATTTAATTTTTTGTCTTTTTCAGAAAAAGTCTCCCTGTAGACCCAGCTGGCCTGGAACTCTCCATGTAGACCAGGCTGACCTAGAACTCACAGAGTTCCACCTGTCTCTGCCTCCTGAGTGCTGGGATTAAAGGCATGTGCCACCACACCCAGCCAGCTCAACCTACTTTTAAAAATAATTTGTTTAGGACATGCACAGTGACCATAGTATGTAAGATCTGTGTGTGAGCATGTGCATGACACAGCAGGCATGTGGTCAGAGGACAACTTTCTATAGTTGGTTCTCACCTTCCACCGTAGGATCTGGGGACCAATGTCAGATCATCAGGCTTGTATAGCAGCAGTTTTACCTGTCTAGCCATCTCAATAGCCTGTTTCTCCTGCTTATATTATCAATTATACTAAATTTTTTAAACTGTATAATTATGCTTACATTCTTTAAATAAACCCAATTGAAAATAAAATGTATAGGCTGGAGATATGGCTCAGCAATTAAGAGTGATACTTTCTGCTCTTAAAGACCACCCAAGTTCGGTTCTGAGCACCCATGGCAGGCAGCTCACAACCACCTCTAACTCCAACTCCAGGGGATCCGGTGCCCTTTCCTGGCCTCTGTAGGCACCTGCACACATGTTGCATATATTCACACACATACACATAAATAAGAAGAAATCTTAAAAATTTATGTATATGCAAATTGGATTCCTACATTGATTTATTTTAGGAGTTTGGCTTTGGTAATTGTAAATGAGGCTGAGCTCTCCTACAATTTTGCTTGGCTTTAATATCAAGGTTATGCTAGACTTATAAAACCATATTATTTGTCCCACTTGTTCTTTGTCTGGAAGAATTTGTGTAAGTTTGGCATATCTGTTTCTTTTTCTTTCTTTCTTTTTGGTCTTTTTTGAGGGTCTTCCTGTAACCTCCATTGGCCTGGAGCTCCTTATGTAGTTCAGGCTGGCCTTGAACTCATAGAGATTCACCCTCTGGGATTAAAGGGGTGCACCACCACACCCAGCTTCTTTTTCTTTTTTAAGACAGGATCTGACCATGTAGTTCTGGCTGGTCGGGAACTGGCTATGTAGATCAGGCTGACCTGGAACTCACAGAGATCTGCCTGCCTTTGTCTCCCAAATGCTGGGATTAAAGGTGTGTGCCGTCATATCAGGCCCATATAGCTATTTAATTTTGGGGGTATAAGTAATCAGGATATGGTTGTTTATTTTTGTGGTAAATTTGCTTTTTTTAATTTTTAAAAAAATATTTTTATTAAAAAATTTTAAAATTATTTTTATTTTATGTGTATGCATGTACTGCCTGCATGTATGTGAGTGCACCCATGTCATGCAATGCTGCGGAGGTCAGAAGCAGGTGTTGGATCCCCTGGAACTGGAGTTACGGACAGTTGTTAGCTGCCATGTGGATGCTGGGATTCGAACCCAGGTCTTCTGCAAGAATAACCAGTGTTCTTAACTGCTGAGCCATCTCTCCAGCCCCTGGTAGATTCAATTTTATTATTAGTTATAAGTCTACTTATAGTTGAGTCAGTTTGGGAAAGTTATTTTTCCCCCCTGGAAATGAACCTGTATTTATTTTCTATTATTTCTAAGATTTTCTATATTCATTGGTATAAAATTGTTCACAATATTCTTTGTCTCTGCTACATCCTTTTTCATACATGGTTTATATTTTTCTTTTTTAAATTTTTATTCGCTTCAGAAGAAAGAGCAAATGCAGTCTCCCACTACCACAAATTATACAGCTGAATTTACCACATGTGGGGAAATTGCAGGGGTCAGTGTTTCTAGAGTGTGATGCATAAGCTGCACCTTGGGAAAAACTTTTTTTTTTTTTTTTTTGTCTTTTTGAGACAGGGTCTCCCTGTAGCCCCAGCTGGCCTGGAACTTACTCTGTAGACCAGTCTGGCCTTGAACTCATAGAGATTGGCCTGCCTCTGCCTCCCAAGTGCTGGGATTAAAGGCGTGCACTACCATGCCTGGCTGTATTTTATTTTTTCTTAACCAAAATGAAGGATGTATGAAAAACTCTTATGGGAACTCACTACTTTGTGAACTAGTTAAAAACATAATTAATTAAAAAACAACAAACAAAAGCTGGGCGTGGTGGCGCATGCCTTTAATCCCAGCACTCGGAGGCAGAGGCAGAGGCAGGCAGATTTTTGTGAGTTCAAGGCCAGCCTGGTCTACATAGTGAGTTCCAGGACAGCTGGCGCTACAGGGAGACCCTGTCTCAAAAAGACAAAAAAAAACAAAAACAAAAAAAAAAAACAATAACCAACAAACAAAAAACAGGGTTTGAACATCAGTACCCTAGATGAGTGGACAGTGCCTGCCCCAGAGGTCATAGGTCATTAAATGAACATCTCAGTGCTATGTGTGAGGTTCCTCCCTACCAGTCATTGGTCAGGGAGGCCCCAGAGGCCCTGAAACACAGGCCATTGTCATTGCCCTTGGTTGGTCACTATCACTAGATGGTAAGACTTTATTGTTGAAGACACAAAACACTTTGGTTATAAGATACAGAGAAATCAAGTTGCTAATGACCTGAAAACTTCCCTCTGTCTAGCTTTCATAGTGCTGGAAGGTGATGTGCAGTTTCTTGGGTAAGGTTCTACATCAATGAGCTAGATATGGTAGTGCACACCTTTTAGCCCAGCACTCTTTTTTGAAAAATATTTTATTATTTTTATTTTATATGTATGCGATGTGTTGCCTGCATATAGGTAAGTGCACCTGTGTCATGCAATGCCCGAGGAGGACAGTAGAGGCTGTCGGATCCCTGGGAACTAGAGTTATAGACAGTTGTTAGCTGTCATGTGGATGCTGGAATTTGAACCCAGGTTTTTTGCAAGAACAGCCAGTGTTCTTAACCTCTGAGTCATCTCTTCAGCTCCATAAGCCCAGCACTCCTAATCCCAGCACTCAGGAGGCAGAGGCAGGTAGATCTCTATGAGCTTGAGGCTGTCTGGTCTACATAGTGAGTTCCAGGTCAACTGGGCCTAGAGGGTAACCCTGTCTCAAAAAGACCAAAAATAAAATAAATTAAAATAAATAAATAAAATGAAAAAAAAAAGGAAAAAAAAAAGAAAAAGTCATGAATAGCATTACCAGTGGTGAGCCCTGCATGCTGTAATACCAATGTGCCAATCAAGATGTGCCCACTGGCACAATTGTGGCATGGCTGTTATGGGGGTAACTAACCACTTTCTGATTGGATTTGAGGCCTGTTCTACAGGAGAGAATTCATACCTTGATACTGTAAATCTGGTCAATAGCCCATGGTTTGGGCCCTAGGGGAGAACTTTAAAAAAAAAATTTTATGCCAGTCGTGGTGGCGCACACCTCTAGCCCCAGCACTTGGGAGGCAGAGGCAGGCAGATCTCTGTGAGTGCAAGGCCAGCCTGGTCTACATAGTGAGTTCCAGGACAGCTAGGGCTACAGGGAGACCCTGCTTCAAAAAGACAAAAAAAAAAAGAAGAATTTATTATTTTTATTTTATGTGTATGTGTGTAATTACCTGCATGTAGGTAAGTGCACTCGTGTTGTGCAGTGCCTGGGGAGGACAGAAAAGAGGGTCGGATCCCCTGGAACTGGAGTTGCGGACAGTTGTTAGCTGCCATGTGGGTGCTGGGATTTGAACCTGGGTCTTCTCAGTCAGTGTTCTTATCCCCCGAGCCATCTCTCCAGCCCCACCAAAGGGAGAACTTTAATACTGTTGTTTTGTTAAATGGCTATGTTATCAAATGGTAGTCTGAATGTTTATGTTTATACTCATTGCTTAGTGCTGCCTTACTTAGCCAGAGCAGCTTCTTTCTACAGTGGGCAGTAGTTAATGCACAGACTCATAACTAGTCAAAGTGCTGAGAATAAGTGACTGCTAAGTACCTGGTCCTAAATGGCACATTTATATCAACCTTAACAAGGCTCAGAGGACTTGAGGAAAAGGGGTCAGAAAGAATGTAAGAGTTGGAGGATGGGGAGGAGTGCTGTGAAATGCTGTCTTCTGGACATGACATGGCCATTGCATCAAGAACTCACTGCAGCTATGGACCTGCACAAGACCTGCACAAGATCAAGGCAACAAGAGCAGTCAACATCTAGCATTAATTGAACTCAGTAGGTTACAAAAAAAACAGGAGAGGGCATGAAGGTGTGAAGGGGTGTGGTAAGATACGTCTAGGGGAGAGGGAGAAGGGAGTTGGGAGTGGATACAATCAAAATATACTGTATACATGTGTAAAATTGTCCAAGAATAAATAAAACATTCTAAAAAAATAGAATTGTGTAAGTTGCATACTAATATTACCTTGTCTAAAAATAAAGGATAAAAAAGTTTAAACTCCCTTTTCACCATCACCTCTCTTTCCTTCCTAGAGGAAACTATCATCAACATTTTCAGGACCATTTCCTAGTGTTCTTTCTATGTATTTTCTTCTTTAAAATATTTTATTTATTATTTTTATGTGTATGCGTGTATTGACTGCATATAGGTAAGTGCACCCGTGTAGCGCAATGCCCGCGGAGGTCAGAAAAGGCTGTCGGATCCCCTGGAACTGGAGTTATGGACAGTTGCTAGCTGCCATGTGGGTGCTGGGATTCGAACCGAGTGTGCAAGAACAACCAGTGTTCTTAACCGCTGAGCCATCTCTCTAGGCCCCTATGTATTTTCTTTATTGTATCTACATATACCCATCTTCTTTGCTCAAAAATGATACCGCCTCATTTTATACGGGAAGAAAATGAGAAAGGTCCCCAGAGGAGAATTATTGCGAAGTCTACTGAAGAAAAACAGAGTGAACAGTCATTTATTAAAGCCTATGACTGGATCATCTTAAGTTATTAACATACACTTCAGAATTTTAGAAATACACTGATCTCACACTAAAACAAAATACCTACCATGTGTCAGTCCCTGAGCGTAGCATGAAGAGTTCTGATAGTTCACTTCTGAACTTTCCTTCGGAAACTGGGGATTGACACCGGGTTTAGGAGACTCCCTTTGCAGCTCGGAGTCCGAAGCAAGAAAGGTTGCAAAAAGGATGAGGCAAGGCAGGCAGCAACCCGGGAACCTGGCCAGAGCCGAGAGCGCTTGGCCGGGAGACACTGCGCCTGCGCGAGTCGCGCGCGGATTGGGAGGGGGCGGAGCCTAGGGCGGCCAGTGCGCCTGCGCACCTCTCGCGGCGAAGTGGGGGAGGGCGGCCCGTGTGTGTCTGTGTTGTTGTTCCGCGGTGGCGGCGGCGGCGGCGGCGGTAAGATGGCTGCCCACGGGGGCTCCGCGGCGTCGTCGGCGCTGAAGGGGTTAATTCAGCAGTTCATGGCTATCACCGGTAAGAGACGCGGTTACCGGAAGGTGGGGAGCGGGTTCTGGGGCGGCCGGCGGGGCTGTCCCAGGCTTCCTCACCTCTGTGCATTCCTCCCACGGGCTTTCCCCCTCGGCTCCTGTCTTGAGGAACAGGCGACAACGGCGCCGGGGTCCTCGGTTCCGGCGGGAGGCGGCCTCTCCTCCGAGCGCGCCCCCAGCCCCTGAATTCGGTTTCTTCGTAGTTCCGAGGCTGGCCCCCACGCCCCCCCACCCCTGGCAGCCTGGAGCAGGGCTGGGCCGAGCCGGTGGTCCCTGGCGGCCTGGGGACCGGGGGGGCGGGAGGAGTAGGGGGGCTGCAGCCGGCCACCGCCCTCTTCCTCCTCCACCTTCTCCCCTTCTCTGTGCGGCCCGCGGAGAACCGGGTGCGGTGCGTCGCCCCACGCGGGCCTCTTCCCGGGCAGGTCAGCGGCCCCCGCCCCCGGCCTGTCCTTCCCGCGCTGGGCCCCCCGGAGCCTCGGCGGCCCTGGAGGGTGAGGGCCCTCTCCAACGGCGAGGCGGGTGGGTTCGGCGGCGCCTTTACACATCCCGGGGGACATGCCGCCGGGAAAAGGTGCCCTGGAGTACCTTAGGGACAGAGGGCTTAGGGTGGAAATGTGAGGGGGACCCCAAGCTTCACCGGGAAGGCCTGGAGTAGTCCTGGGAGGCCTTTCCCACCTCCCCATAATAAAATCATAAAGATCGAGACCATGGCGCCCAAGCCTTCTGCCGAGAAAATAGGGATGGCGGCCGAAACTTCTTGGAGAGAAATCTGTTTCAGGGTATCTGTATCCCCAAACCTTAGGCCTCAGTTTTTCTTTCCCTTTGGACCCCAGCAAAGGGCAGACGCAGATTCTCTTACCGCCTGAAGGAAAGGGTCGAAGCCATTCTGTGAATTCGCAATGTCTTGTTTCCCTCCGATGGTGCTGAACTTTTTTTGCATGAGTTATTAGAGGGCGGAGCAAATGATGAAGTTCTCTGGAGTGATTTGAGAGACCATGTGCCTGAAAGTGATTTTGCCGTTCTAGTTTGTCATTTTGAAACTAGTTTGTCATTTTGAAAAGACATCAGCAAGTTTCCTCTCTCAATACTGTTGTATTTTCTTTAGTAATAATTCCAGCTGCAGAGAATATTTCCAGTTATGTTCTCGAGTTTGACATAAGTAAAAATGTTCAGTATTTTAGCCAATATAGGTTGTGTGCTGTCTTAGAATTAAAAAGCTTTTTCTTCTGCAGTGGTAACTAGATGATAACTAGATGCATTGTTTTTTTGCCTTGTGGCATGAAATATGTCAAAACTGGTAAAATAAAATTTTAATAAAAGTGAGGTGAAGAGTAAGATGTCAACTTAGACTATTGTCCAGTTTTGAAACTGGATTATTGTATTTAATATGTGGATTTCCCAGTGTCTAACCAAATCAGTGTTATGAAAAAAATAGATTATTGTGTATACACATTAATATTGCTGCATTGTTTGTATAGAAAAATCTTGAGTGAATCACACTGAGAACTGTCATTAATCCTTTCCATAGATTTCCTAGAGAGAGTTTTAAGATATCATTTATTTTAGATTTGTAATGCAAATTACTACCACTTCATTTCTTTTTTGTGAATTTGTATCCTTTAGAAACTCAGGCTGTTTTAATTTCACATTATTTCTTTTTTTCCTTTGTATCTTTTTATTTTCTTGAGCTAGTATTTCACTATGTAGCCTTGGCTGGCCTGCAACTCACATTGCTCCTCTTGCCTCTGCCTCCTGAGTGCTGGGATTAAAGCTGTGTGCCATCACACCTGGTGGCATTATTTCTTCTACAACATTTTCTAAACATATACATAAAACTCACTGTGCTAAAATAGATAAACTCAATTGCTGTAGTTCTCTATTTTTGTCTCCAATCTAGTCTCCACAGTTTATTAGGTCTTTTTCTTGCTGGATTGGAATCCTTTGATGGATAGTGGTATCTGGGTCTATAAAAGGAAAAATTCCTTAGCATGTTCTTTGGAAGGGAGGGGGCTTGAGACAGGGTCTGACTCTGTAGTCTAGACTGGCTTTAAACTCAGTCTTCTTGGCTCATCATCTGGGTGCTGGGATTGCAAGCCTGAGCCACTGTGCCTGACTCCTTAGGCTGTTCTTTATGGGTCTTGAACAAACTACCTAACTCAGTTCTGAGCTGCCTTGAGCTTTGCCCCTAAAGGTGACAGATCTTTTGGGGGTTGGTGTTGAAGATTGAATACAAGGCCTCAAGAATGCTGAGCACTGTTCTACCTCTGAGCTGTACTCTCAGCCAGGCTCTGAATTTTTATAAATAAATTTTGGGATTCTTTTTAGAAGATAGTGAGAACTATTAGAATCACATGATTACACCTGACATGGTGGTGTGCAGTTAGTCCCAACTACTCAGGAGGCAGAGAGAGGATTTTATGATCCCTAGACAACATAGTAGGAGCCTGGAGGTACAACTAGGTTGGTAGAGTACTTACTTGCCTAACATGCATGAAACCTCATCCTCAGCTACATAGAAAGTTCTGGGCCAGCTTGGGCTACAAGGCTCTGTTTAAAAAAGCCTCACTTGATAGATTCCTTTTAATCTTTCTGTACACATCTTAAAAAAAATTTCAGCCAGGCCTCGTGGCACACACCTTTAACCCCAGCACTCAGGAGGCAGAGGTAAGCTGATCTCCGGAGGACAGCCTGGTCTCCATAGTGAATCCAGGCCAGCTGGGGCTACACTAAGACCCTGTCTCAAAAAGACCAAAAGAAAAAAAAGATTTTTGACAGTATGAAGTAATTTTGAGAAAAACAGTAGAAAGGCTAATCCTTTATAAGAGCATTATGTAGTTTACATATTCTTTCGCATCCGTGTGTCCCAGGATAGCCTGGAACTTGTAATCCTCCTGCCTCTTCCTTCCCAAGTTCTGGAATTAATTATTCTTTATATACTTGTTTTTACAATGTGAATCATGGTATACAGGATTCAGAAAATGTCACTTAACGTTATATCTTAAACATTTTGCTGAACCAGGTGTGGTGGCACACATCTTAATTCCAGCATTCTGGAGGTAGAGGCAGGAGGATGTCTGTGAGTTTGAGGCTAGCCTCAACTCTATATGGGGTGTTTCAGGCCAGTCAGGGCTTCACAGTGAGATCTTGTCTCCAAAGAGAGAGAACACATTTTGGTGGTGCATTGAAGTAAACTTACGGAGAGCCTACCTTTTACCATTGATGTCTTCAGAGTTATCCAAAACTAGGTAAGAAAACTAGGGCCAGCTAGATGACTCAGCAGGTAAAGTCATCTGCTGCCAAGCCTCCTGACCTGAGTTTAATCCCCAGGATAGTGGAAGGAGAGAACTGATTGTTGCAAGTTGTCTTCTGACCCCAAGCACCACAGCAGGTACATGCCTGTACGTACACACACACACAATAAATACATGTTTTTAAAAAAAGAATGGTAAGGAAACAAGCCCTGCTACTTTTTTTGTTGATTTTGTTTTGAGACAAGGCTCCACCTGATCTTCTTGTCTTCACTTCCCTAGCGCTGGTATTATAGACATGTACATTCAGTGTATGTAGTGTTGGGACTTGAACCCAAGGCTTTGTGCATGTGAGGCAAGCACTCTACCAATTAAACTATATATCCTATTCTGCTATGTTACATTTTGCAATATTTGTGGGGGGTTTTGTTTTTTTAATATTTTATTTTTATTTTATGTGTATGAGTGTATTGCCTACATGTATGTGAGTGCACCCATGTCATGCAATGACTTGGAGGTCAGAAGAGGGCTTTGGATTCCCCTGGAACTGGAGTTAAGGATGGTCTGTAGCCGCCATGTGGGTGCTGGGAATCAAACCCAAATCCTCTGCAAGAGCAGTCAGTGCTCTTAACTGCTGAGCCATCTCTCCAGCCCCTGTTGTTCTTTTTGAGACAGCGTCTCCCTGTAGCCCCAGCTGTCCTGGAACTCACTGTGTAGACCAGGCTGGCCTTGAACTCACAGAGATCTGCCTGCCTCTGCCTCCCAAGTGCTGGGACTACAGGCATGCACCACCCCACGCCCAGCTAAGATTTAAATTTAAAAAAAATTTATTTTTATTTTGTGTGTATGAGTGTATTGCCTGCATGTGTGTAAGCATACCTGTGTCGTGCAAAGCCCACAGAGGTCAGAAGAAGGCATTGGTTCCCCTGGATCTGGAGTTAAAGATGGTTGTTAGATGCCATGTGGATGCTAAAAATCAAAGCTGGGTCCTCTATAAGAGCAGTGAATGCTCTTAACCGCTGCGCCATCTCTCCAGCCCCAAAATTTTATTTATTTTTATTTTGTATGTATGAATGTTTTACCTACATGTATATAACTGTACCACCTTCCTGCCTAATGACCTTGGAGGCCAGAAAAGGGTGTCCGATCCCCTGGAACTGGAGTTAAAGATGAGTATTAGCCACCATGTGGTTGCTGGGAATGGACCCAAGTCCTCTAGAAGAACAATAAGTGCTCTTAACCATTGAACCATCTTCCCAGCCCTGAAGTTTGAAAAATTTTAAGATGAACATTTTTTGGCATTATGAATGAAATATTGGCTGGTTGTGATGGCACATGCCTTTATTTAATCCAAGCACTCGGGAGGCAGATGGATCTCTGGGAGAGTTCAAGGCTAGCCTGGTCTACAAAGTGAGTTCCACGCCAGCTGGGGCTACAAGGAGACCCTGTCTCAAAAAGACCAAATAAAATAAAGTAATGAAGTACTGTTATTCGGCATTTTTTGATAGGCTATCAGGTCTTGAAGCTACAACCAAGAGAAAGACTCTCTCGAGTTACCAGGAGTACAAACACATACATAGGTGGAGACTGCCCAGAAGAGATCATTTCTTATGTAAAACTGGGAGGAGAGAGCATGTGCAGAGGAGAAGGACATACAGTATGTGTAGGGTGTTGATGAGAATTCCAAATGATTAAGCCCTTGCTGGTGAGATTCAGTAAGTGGAGCTGAAGAAAGAGG